ATTTTTTTTTTCTTATGAAGTATGTACATGTTAAAAAAGGAAAGAATTAGATGTGGTGAGTGAGAGAGTTTAGAGAATTTAGACAATATGTAAATGATTTTTTGTGTTGAATAAGAAAAAAAATGAAAATATAAAAAAATATTATTTTATTTAATTTTTAAAAAAAAAAAAAAAAAAAAAAAAAAAAAAAAGAATTTTATCATAAAATAATTATTATAAAATTACACCAATTAAACTTTGTTTGAAATAAATTAAAAATAGAGTAAAAGTTACATAAATTTTAAGAAAACTCTAAAAAAAATTAAATATTTATAAACTTTAAGGAAGTATGGATATGAAATGAGTATATATATACCTATCTCTGTCCCAATACCTAATTTAATGAATTAGATATTATCTGTATTTATATCCGATCAAACGAGTATTTCTTGTCAAAACATTAAATATTATTTGTCATCCCTATACTCAATAATTGAAAAGAACTTTAGGGTTGAGAAATCAAAATATCATTTCATTAGTGTTTTTAGAAGTGTATAAAAACAGTGCAAATTTATTTCTTTGGAGATTTGTTGAAGAGTCTCGTTGATGGGAGTTAATACAAAATAGTTTGGATCTTTATTTTTTTTCTTTGAGGTTGATCGATCATAGTTTTAAAAACTGGACTGGTCATCAAACTGGTTAGGGTACTAAGTCAGTGAGTCAAAGGTTGAATTACATGTTAAACTGTATAAATTTCAATAAATTCATATCCTATTTTAAATTTCAATTTTCATCTTATTTAAAATTATCTTTATTTTTATTTTGTTTAAATAAATACAAAAAAAATTACATGTTAAACTGTATATTAATACAAATTAAAAATATAAATAATATGTATATATATAATATGTTTGCAATTGATATCACAAAATAATATATGTAATATCTACATAGATATTATATTATTAAATATATAATTTAAAATTAATAATATACTATAAAAATTATTTAAGTCGCATGTATTACAAACAAATACATTAGAACAAGTAGTCATTCTTATGTTTAATAAGACTATTTGCTCTTCCATTAAAAGATTCAATTCTCATTATTATTTTTGTGGTTTGTGGTCCCTTAAAAAAATTATGGTTGAACCGGTTTGACCAACCAGTTCACTGGTTGAATCGAAAAATTGACCGGTTCAATTCGATTTGAAACAGTCGAATGCATAACCGATCCAACTTAAGATTCGGACCGGCTGGATCACCAGTTCTCGGTTCAATCGGTCTGATCAGCCAGTCTGTTCCGATTTTTAAAACACTATGATTGATAGTGGATGAATTGCTTACTTTTTAGGTTAAAAATATGTTTTTAATTTTTTTAAATATGCCTTTGTTTTTATTTGGTTTTACACCTTAAAAAAAATTGAAAGATTTTAAATTCTCTCAAATTTTATTTTTTTAAAATAACTCTTCACACCATTTTATGATCATGTTTATTACATATTATATAAACAATATTGACTTAGATGGTTTTGTGAGACTTGTTTTATTAATACCGTGAAAATGGATTCTAGAAACTTCAAATTGACTTTCTATTCAACTATTAAGACAAAAGACTTAATAATCTATCATATTTTTTAATGTATTTAGAAAAGGCACATTATTAAAATATTTACTTTGTGTTTATATATATGTATAGAGAGAGAGGGATCTGTTTATTCGAGTAATAAGTTTACCTAAATTTATTTCGTTTAATAACTCATGTTTTATATCAAATTTTAACGATCGAACCGTTGAATTTAAAGTTCTTAATACATAGATCAAATCTGTAAAATTGTAAAAAATTTGAAAATTATTTGATACTTCATTTTATTAATTCAAATCAATATATGGAATGATTTTATGATTATCCTTCAATTTGAATTAATAAAACAAAGTATCAAATAATTTTCAAGTTTTTTAAAACTTTGCAAATTTGATCTATGCATTAAGAACTTTAAATTCAACAGGTGAATCGTTGAAATTCGATGTTGTACTATCCACACTCCAGAGCCGAGCTCCCAGCTCGGCATCACAACATAAGACGATCTTGGGCACGCGTCGCGTGACGTCAGATCGGCACTTAAGTAGATCATAACCGATCTCAGGGGATCTCGCTCCAGATGAGATCCGTTATCTAATCATATCATATCTCATCTTAGGCCCAAGGCCCAACGCAACCCTAACTCACACTAAGGTACGTGCATTATTTATACGAGACTCATATTCACACAAACCCTAACTTTAGCATCGGAGTCTCTTTTGCAGGTACCACCCCCATCTTGGAACACCAACGTACCAGCGAAGGAGGCTCACCAATCTTACTTGGCAGATCATCCCTACAGCAGATTTTCGGTAAGAACATTTGGCGCCCACCGTGGGGCCGATCGAGACAAGCTCTTATCGGCCACGCTCATGGTATTCACCAGAAGCCATAGTAGACGCGTAACAGACGACGCAGAACATTCAACTGCCATGGATAACGAAGCCACATTAAGGAGACTGATCGACCAGGTCGAACAGATGCGGCAACAACACGATGCCGATCTACGCAACATGCGTGCTAAACATGAAACCGACCTAGCGGCAATGCGGACCGCCAATGAAGTCGACCTGGCGGCGTTGCGCGCCGAGAACGAGTGTATTCGCGCTCAACTCCCTCGGCGTCCCTCTGATCCTCAGCCTTAGGCGAGCAACCTCCACGGGGAAGAGACACACTCAATCTCCCAGCCCCAGACTGCAACTAGGGGCCCAACCCCCAGACCTGCTTCACACCGGTCTCATGCACCAACGCACAAGCCGACCCATGAAGACAGCAGGGCTCCTACTCATGTCGTAGGGGATTAGACAACCTTCCGCCGCCACCCTTTCGTAGATGGCATTATGGAGACACCACTCCCTCACGGGTGGAAGCCTCTCCACCTCGATCGCTATGATGGCACGACGGACCCAAACGAGCACATCGACCTATATACGACACAGGTAAACCTCGACACTAACAATGATGCTATTCTGTGTAGGGTTTTCCCAACCTCGCTCAAAGGGGCCGCGCTCAACTAGTACACCCAGCTGCCAGCCGAGTCCATTGACAGCTTCGGCACCCTGGTCAGCCGGTTCACAACACAATATGTAACTAGCCGACCACACCACATCACCTCTGCCGCCCTAGCCAGTCTCAGACAGAACAACGACGAGCCACTCTGGGCGTTCATGGAGCGATTCGCCAACACCTCGGTAAAGATCAGGAATCTAAACCCCGAGGTCGCCCTACACGCCATGTTCATGGCACTCAAACTCGGACCGTTCGTCGACAGCCTATGTCGTGAAGCACCTCGCGATATGGACGACCTCCGTGCCCGTGCCACTGGGTACATTCAGATGGAGGAACATTCTGCTTTCCGTGACCAAGTTCGCGGGAAATCACCGGTAAAACCCGACGGTGGCCACAAGGACAAGGTCAAAGTCAATAATGACAGTCAGTTCAAGAAGTCGGCTAAGACGAACAGAGGGGGGAGATATGACTTCTATACTCCCCTGAACACGCCCAGGGTACATATCCTGAAGGAGGCCAGTAACAACAATCTGCTCACCCTACCACCGCCAGGGCACACCCCCAACAGCGCCGACAAATCCAAGCATTGTCGGTACCATAGGAATCATGGTCACACCATCGAGGAGTGCCGCTCACTTCGAGACCGTATTGAAGAACTCATCCAAGCAGGCCACCTCGGCCAATATGTCTAGCGACAGCAAGGTCACCGAGGAGGCTATGGCGGACGAGGACGGGGCCGAGGCCGTGGTT